TTGTTAAATGACCATTTATACACATCAGATACACGTGGGGAGCTTATTAACACGCGCCACACAATTTATGAAAAGTGAAAAAAATGCTTAAAAGGTTCAAATCTTGTCTGGTAGAGGTGTTTAATAGGTACTAGGTCTAGTTGAGGTGTCTAAATGAATTATGCGGACAACTTTAAGGTGCCGCAGATGACTTACGCATATTTTTAAGGTCATTTTTATGTAAATTTTTTACTTTACATCTTTTATCATTGTTGTTTAAGTCACTTGATTCTCCCAATTGCATACGCAAGTGTACACGGTCGCGCAAGCAATATAGTAGATCTTAAAAGAACTGGATTATCGAACCCAAAGGACTTGTCGATTAATTATTCTTACTAAATTATACTAATTCTAATTATTTATTTAAGGGAGGATTTCAAAAGATGAATATTTATTAACTAAACTAAAAATAAAGATAAAATAACTAAAAAACAATTAACTAAGAAAAGATAGATGTTTACACAATCAATGAATGGATCGATCTAGGATTATGATTTATCTAACATTCATGTTTAACATCAATTTCATCAACTTATTTAATTATCTAGTTGCTGATTCACGGGGTGGATAATATAGTCATGATCTCCCCACCTCTAACCGTCTACCACAATTGACAGTCTAACTACATCGTTGAACGGGGATAGACTGAACCAACTATGGAGCATTAAGTTTTCTTCCCGTATTTGAGCCAAGCAAGACGCCTAGATATATCCCTATCCTAGACACAAATCAATTCAAGTGACATGCAAGAAAAGATCATGCTCCTTATATTCCACGTTCTATCCCTCTATTCCTCTCCCAAGTTCAAAAGAAGACAATAAATTTATTCTAATGGTGATCAAGCATCAAAATAGTAATCACAAGAATATAAGAACAACCACTATGATAAACAATTATGCCGAATCAAAATCACTAAACAATCATTTTGTAAGTAAATACAATCCAAGAACGAGAAGTTTAACTCCACATAGACATAGATCAATTACAATCAATCATGCAAAAAAAAAATGTAAAATAAATAAAAGAAAAAAAAAATGAAACTGTAAATCAAAAATTAATTTTTACATTATATCCTCCTGCTTTAATAATTATTTTTATGGACCATTTATAGACATAAAAAATCCTGAATAAAATAATTGAATCTAAATCAAATTGGGAACCAAAACCTTGACGGATTTGGATTACGGCTTCGTCTGCCGCCTCACAAAATTGGTTGATGCGTTCATTTTGTGAAACGTGGCAGATGTGCCAATTTCAATTCAACCTCTCTTTGCTGCACTTTCATATGTATTCAATATTATATTAAATTTAATCCATTAAGCTACCTGATTTCCTTCTTCAATCTTTCATCTTTATTTTTTTTTAGTTTCAAGCTTTTTTATTTTTTCATCAATTTAATTCTACAAATAAAATACACTATTAAGGACAATTTATAAAATCCATGCTTAAAAAGAACAATTATAAATAATAAATATGAGGCAAATAATAATTAAAAATATGTATTTTGACCTCACATCATCACTTTACACATATAGTAGCTAAATTTGCCGGGTAGCTCGTTTGAGTGAAATTTTCACCGATTGTCTTTTTGGGGAATGTTGTTTAGTAAATGACTTTTTTTTTATATAGTTTCTCTTACAATTTATGAATCTTTTAGATCACAATCTAAAAATATTATTTTTCTTCAGAAAACTGAAAATTTTATTAGAAAATGTTAGACCACTATCTAACATTCATAGGTTATTGCTAACGTTAGACGATAATTTATTTTTCTATAAGTTAAAAGTAATATATAAGCAAACGTTAGACCGAATCTAATACTGTTAGAAAGCTATATTTGTACAATTTTCTTTTAAAAAAATAAGACTAAAATTTAGAAAATAACCTAAAAAGGGACATTTGTATAAATCAACCCTTGTTCGATCCATAAGCCCAAATGCAAAGATATCATGTCTTAGCATATGGGCTGGATAGTCACTCTTAAGGTCACCAACTCCAACCACATGCTTAGGCCCTCGAGCGATCCACAAGTTATTCTTGCTTGTTTGGGCTGGCCCATTATATTTAAGAGTAAATTTTAGGTTTACCAAACATAAAAATCATATTTGTATGCTATAGCTATAGTTTGTATAATTGCGCTTCATAGCAAACTTTATATTTGCTATGACTATTAATCTGTATATTTCGTTATACATATACATAAAAATCTGTATTTGTATATTTTGGTATACAAACTAAAACACAGTAATTGTATATAAACAAAATTACTGCATATATACAACACATATGTATACCGAATGGGTCTATTTGTATATTTTGGTATACAAATGAGATGGCAAAAAACATGAAATGTTTGCTGCGAATTACAAATAAAAGAAACTATGGCTATAACATTTAATTTGAATTAATAGTTTGCTATTTTATACAATTTCCCCTATATTTAATACGGAGAAAGTTGGGAAAATTATGCAAAGGGGTCACTCGGCCCTTTGCTTTATTTAGGGAAAAATTGTGTATTATAGCAACCAATTAATTCAAAATAAATGATATAACCACAGTTTAATTAATTCCAATTTGCAACAAACTTCTTGCCATTCGCCTATTTCCCCCCTCTCTGGAATCTCGCTCGCCAACTCTCCTCTTTTTCAATCCTCTCTCGTTCGCCTCTCTCACTTTATAGAATCACAAATATATATTTGTGTTTGTGTTTGTATAAAGCGAGAGGGACTGTATATACAAATACAAATGCATATATCTCCATCCCATACACTTATAATTATACAAATGCAAATCTTTCCCTGCCCGACTCTCTTTGGCCTTTCTCTCTCCCTCGTTTTATACAAACACAAATTGTACAAAATACAATGTATAATTTACGTTTGTATAAAGCGAGAGAGAGAGAGATTTGATATACAAATACAAATATTTTAACTCGATTCAATTGTATACGAATTCAAATTTTATACAGATTTTACAAACACAATCATTGATACATATACATAGTAGTTACATTTATACAATTATCTAACCAATATACATATACAATTCACCTCTCTCGCTCGCCTCTCTCCTTTCTCTCCCAATCTCACTTGCCACTCTAGCCTAACACATAGAACATGTACAAATACAAACATAATTTTCATACAAATCTCTACATTTTTTATACAAATCACCACGATTTATACAAATCAGATGTTCCATAGCAAACATAATTTGACTATGGAGCGTAAATAGTGAGATTATAGTTATATAACACTAATATGATTTTTATGTTTGCTATTCCTAAAATTTACTCTTTAAAAATTGGTCCAATTTTTAAGATTATCAAATTGGCCAAATACGTTGTTAACTTTCAATTTCGTCATTAATGGTTGTTCTTGTTGGTTCTTCTTCTACTTCGTCATTCTTCTTTTTCGGCTTCTTCATCTTCTCTCTTTCTAAAATTTGATGTACCGGGAACGTGAATCATTTCGAGTAAATGAAAAGACATAAACATTGAGAGGATTTTATATCTAAATTATGGGACTGTTTAGAGGTGATTTTGAGTTGATCGAAATTGAATTCATCAATGTATACTTCATGTATAGTTAAGCTATATTCTATTTTTTGAGTGTATCATAATGTATAGTTAGTGTAAAGCTCATGTATAGGTAAGTTATATTGTATAGTCTGTGTATATTTTTTAGGGGAAGCTGCATAAATGGGCCATAAAATCCAAAATAATTACAGTTCATACCCCAAACCAAAGTAATTCAAGAAATACCATTCTCTCGAAAAAATTTATAGCCCATACCCCCATTCATCAAGATTGCTAATTTCGGTTAACTAACACTATATATATATATAGAAAGAGAGAGAGAGAGAGAAATGGTCAAAAGCCCCTCTAATTTATATCTGGATTTCCAACTACACACTTTAACTTTATGGGAGTCCTATCACCCACCTGAACTGTTTAAAACTACAATAATTACACCCTTAAAAAGCCACAACCACATGTATCTTGGCATGTGAACTTCACACGTTTGACAGGTGGAAATTGATTAATTTATTATTTTTTAAATTTTTTTATAATTCTTTTCCACTTTCTCTTATACTCTCCCAATTTCTTCAAATTCCTAAAGTAAATTCTTCCCCCAATTCTTTCAAATTCCTATTGAATTGTGTGTAGGGGTGTTCATGGTTCGGTTTGAATCGGTTATTGGTTAAAACCAAAACCAAACCAAAATTAATTGGTTTTTATATTTCTAAAACCAAACCAAATAAAAAAAATAACCGTCGGTTTGGTTATTGTTGGTTTGGTTCGGTTTGGTTCAATTTTTTTGGTTATTTCGATTTGAAAGTGTATAATTTGTTGAGGGCATATGCATCTCGATAGACACAAATACATAGTACATAAACTATCCATAGAAAAACTATTGTGAATTTAATTAAGCAATACTAGTCATAAAACAATTATAAGAGGATTAAAACTCATTAAGTTGTTAGAAGACTTATTTCTAAAAAGAGAAAGCAATTTATATATGTAGTGGAAAATCAATACTAGCAGTCTAGCAGAGTTGTCTTGGATAGATATATAACATTGAATTTTGCATGATGTGGGCTTATGGCAACTGGGAATTTTTCCTAATAAACCAAAAAAAAAATATGTGCTCCAAACTGATCAATTATCATCTTCTTTAGCTTAGCATGAGCTCTAAATTACTCAATGCTCAAAGTAGTGTCCAGATATTCGAAGAAAAAAAATACACTATATTAGGTAATATTTACTAACATAAATATGATATAACTTTTTTTTTCTTTTGAAAAGACAATAAGAATAAGTAGAAAGTTCTATTATGGATCAAATTTTAAGAGCCAAAATAAACTAGAAGAAAGAATTAATAAGCTGTTAAGTAGTACTTTTTGCAACTATTTCATGTTTTTGAAATATAAATTTCAGAACCAATAAAAGAAATGGGAATTCAAAATCGGACGTGAAAGTTTCCTTTCATGATAACTAGAAGTTGTAAATTAATACCTTTTTCAACTATTTCAAGATTTTGCATTTCTTGTAAAAGATCTTCAATCTTGCATTCTGTAGATGCTGAACGTAACCATTGTTGACTACAAACAAGAGCTTTAGCCGTCTTTGGTGATAATGAACTTCGATAACAATCAAGAATGCGACCACCAATGCTAAAAACAGATTCTGAAGCAATAGTAGATGTAGGAATAGCAAGTATATCTCTTGCAATTCTAGAGACTATTGTATATCTTTCAGATGAAGCTTTCCACCAAGTTAAAATATTAAAATCCTTAATCTTCTCTACATCGTCCTCCAAATACTTGTCAAGATCAGATTTATCATCAACATTATTATTTTCTTTTTCAAGAAATTTCTCCCATTGAGATTGCCACACATCAGAAGTATCCATTGCACTAACTTCACTCATTGCATCAGTCTGATCTACAACAGTTTCACAAGAAGTTCCAACAATAGAATTTTTGTAATGATTATATAAGATAGCTAAAGTATCTGTTACTTTGGTAGATTTACTACATCCCTCCACAGAATTATAATAATTCTTAAAAATAAATTTCATATACTTCTTTTTGAAACGAGGATCCAACACAACGGCAACGAACAACAACATATTCATATCATCAAAATCACCCCAATATTTATCAAACTTACCTTTCATCTTCTTAGCCATACCAGTCAAAAGAGAATCATCACACTTTGAATAATTAACAATTATGCTTTGAAGATTAAAAAGCTCGTGAAAGAAAGTATTTGAATTAACATGTAAAGTACTCGAAAACTTCAAAGTGGTTTGATAGAAAATGTCCAAAAACTTGAGAAATACATTCACATCTCTCCAGTCTTCTTCTGAAGATGGATGCTCTATCTTTCCACCTGAGTCAAGACAATATTTAAAGTACTTATGATCATCAATATACATTCTTGAAAATGCCTTTTCAAATTTGACAATAGTATTTTACATCAAATATGTAGAGTTCCACCTCGTCTCAACATCCAAACTCAAAAGTCCACGAGTATCTGGTTTAACCTTTTCAACATATGACTTGAAAGAAGTATTAGTTCTTGCACAAGAATACTTAACATATTTCACATCATTTCTTACCCGAGAAATAGACTTATTTTGTTCACTCAATCCTTCTTTCACAATCAAGTTTAGAATATGGGCATTGCACCTAACATGTAAAAAAATATTTTCCATGAAAACACCTTTCCAATCACTAGTTCTCCCTTTTAAGTGTGTGATTGCTGCATCATTAGATGTTGCATTATCAAGTGTTACTGTAAGTATTCTATTCCCCAATCTAACAAACAAGATTCAATAGCTTTTGCAATAGTCTCACCTTTGTGATCTGGAGTTTGAAAAAAATTCAATATCTTTTTTTGCAACTTCCACTCATCATCAATCCAATGGACAGTAATGACCATATACGTAAAATTTTGGAGTGAAGTCCATGTGTCACTAGTAATACAAACACGCTGACCTTTAACAAGTCTTTTAAGCTTTTGTTTTTCTTCTTGATAAATTTTTAAGCATTGTCTAGCAACAGTAATACGAGACGACAACTCATAATTTGGCAAAATAAGCTATATTAGTCTCTTAAAGCCTTTACCCTCAACGACTCTAAATGGTTGTTCATCGATTATAACAAACTCGGCAATGGCCCTCCTGACTTCGGTGACATTATAAACAACCTTCTTCAAATCTATTGTTCCCCCTCTTTTAATAGGTTTAAGAGTTCTTTGCTTTTTATCAAAAGACTTGAAAGGGTATTTTGTACACTAAGTAAGTAAATGTCCCCAAAGATTAGAAGTCCCATTCTTACTAGTCCATTTAAAGTCTTTGAAACAGTACTTACATTTTGCCTTCACTTCACCCACTTTACTGGTAATCTCTGAAAAATGATCCCAAACTTTAGAGGTTTTTCTACCAGTTTCCTCATTGTCCAGAGTTGTTCTTTTCTGTTTCTTCAGAGGATTGTTCAAAGAAGAAGTTTCTGAAAAATTACCTTTTGCTTGAGTTTTATCAGTTGTAAATTTTTTTACTTGAGGTTGAACTTCCAAATCTTCCAAATCTTCAACCTCTACTGGTCGTTTCATCTGAAATTCTTATAGAAAAAAGAAATATAAAAAAATCTCAATTTTGAAGTCATGCTCTCTAGATTAAAATTAGCTAAAATCAAGAAAAAATATAATATAGAAAATAATTACCTTCAATCTTCACTTTTTCCTTGTATTTGAAGTTGAGAACTTAAGAAGTTCGAGAAGAAAAAATCAGTAAGATTGAAGAAGATGAAGAGAAGGAGCAGAAGGCTGCTGTGAAATTATTTTAAAAAGAAAAAAGTTGCGCTGCAACGAAGAAAGTTGCGTATACTTTTTGCAAAAAACTGCACTATGAATTTGTGATGTAGGGTAGGTAAAAATCACTTAAATAATAAATTTTGATGGAGTTAGAATTAGGGTTTTAATAGTTGGGCTGAAATTTAAGTGTTGGACTTGAAAAAATGATAAAGTTAAAGACTTAAGTTAATTAAAATTTAATAAAATATTTATATTTTATTTATGAATTATATAAAAATAATTATAAAATTTATATATATAATTTATCGGTTCGGTTTGATTATTTTTTGCGGATATTTTTTAGTAAAATTAAAACCAAATCAAATAGTATCGGTTTTTTCAAAATGTAAAACCAAACCTTACCAATTCCAACCAAATATCGGTTTTTTTTATCAGTTTGGTTCGGATTACGGTTCGATTTGGCTTTTTAACCATAACCATGAACAACCCTAATTGTGAGGAACAAAGATAAATATTGATAGCAAGAGCTTGTCAAGCAATATTCGAGTTTTGCTTGTCGGAGAACCTTGAAAAACAAACTAAACGGATCTTGAGGAGGAAGGGTTTTGCCTGAGGATGCGACGATGGTGGCTGTTGGTCGAGCAGCAAAGAGAAGAATAAAAAATAAAAAGCATTCTCATTTGGGAGTTCACTTGAATTTGATGTAAACCCAATTTGATATTTTTTTTTCAAATTTGATCCAAATCTCTTTTTTTGGATGATACAAATACATGTCATTTTATCTTCAATTGAATTGATTGGTTCTTAAAAGTTTTTTACATGAGAGTTTTAAAGTTTGTGTGCAATCAACAATGGTGAATCCGGTGAAGGAATTTGATTGCTATGGAGAAGAAAGACAATAAATAAGAAATAAAAATAAAAATACATATATTTGTAAAAGAGATATTAAAAATAAAGTTTTAATACTTATTTTTTGTGCTCACTCTCTCAAAGAGAGTGAAATACACTCTCTTTGCCAGCTAAGCATTCATGGAGGTATTAATTTCAGTTTTAAATACTTCAGGGGGGTGATATGACTCTTATAAAGTTAAAGTGTGTAGTTGAAAATCCGGATATAGATTAGGGGGGGCTTTTGGCCATTTTCTCTTATATTTATATTTATATATGAGTATATCTGTAACACCCCATATTCGAAACATACCAAAATTGCAGATTTTCAGAAGTTGCAGGTGCCAGTGACGGAAGCCAACTACGAACCGTCAGTCGACTAACTGCCTGTCAGTCAGCTCCGTCGTTGGGCCAGTCAACTTTCAATCTCCAGTCGCAAATGACGGAAGCCAACTATGGACCGCCAGTCCATTGAAGACCTGTCACTCAGCTCCATCGATGGATCAGTCAAATTCCAGCCTTCAGTCGCGAACGACGGTCGACCAGTACGGACCGTCAGTCAACTCACGGTCCATCAGTCTCATCCGTCGGTCACTCCGACAGCAGTTAAGTCGGGGTTTTTTTGGTCTTTTCCTATTTCTCCCCTAAGCTACATCGTTTAGACCTTAAATTATAAGGTTTTAGTCAGTTTAAGCCTAGAAACATAACTAGAACTTACCTAAGTCAAATTATTAATCCAAACATAGAAAATTAGAGCGTAAGAGGATAAGAGAAGTCAAGAACGCAGCAAGGTTCCATCAGTTCCAGCTCCGAAATCTAAGAATTTCTTTGTGGAATTCATCACCAGATATGTGGGATTTCACTAGTGGGTTCCTTTCACCCATTAGGTCTCTAGTTTTCAGTCAGTTTCTTGATTCCCTTATTCTGACTAGACCTAGGGTTTCTTGAATGTTAAAATTATTGGGTTCTTAATTGTTAGAATGATCCAAATCAGATTAGTATGTTAATATTCAATTTATTGCATGAATTCCAGAACCTTAGCTATGTATTTCTTTAGTTCTTGAATTACACATGCTAGATCAGATATTTCAGTTATTCAGTTACACATGCCTCAGTTATTAATGCATCAATATCAGTTTAATTGTTGCATACTCAGTTTGCATGTTCCCTTCGAGCTATCCAGTAACTTACAGAAATTCAGTCATAATGTGTTAATTACTTAATCCATTGGGAATAGCATAATACCGAGTTGGACTAGGGTTCAACGTACCCAAATAGTCCTAGAACTACTAGCCATATAGGTTGTAAGTCTCCTATGTGGGCATCATTTCAGTGATCACACCAACATGCCTCTATACCTCTGGCAGGGTATATTAGGTCCTTTCGATGGGGCGTATACATCGGACTCCACATTTAGCTCATGTGGTTTTATTATCGGTTATTAGTAGCTCCCACAGTTCAGTCAGATCCTATTGCATTAATCATTTATCAGTATATCTAGTATTCAGTTTCAGCATGTTATAAATTAGTCACTACATTCAGTGTCTATATCATGTTCAGATTATATCATTGTTTATTTGCTTTGTACAGTTATATGTTATTTCAGCTTTACTCTATCATGTATGCTCAGTACCTTTCAAGTACTGACACATACTTTGTGCTACATCTTCTCGTGATGTAGGTCCAGGTTCTCAGCATTCAGATCACGCCTAGATCGGTTCCTGATCTCCAGTTCAGCAGAATCATTGGTGAGTCCTCATTCTCCTAGGACAATAGTCATGAGTTTCTTTTCAGTATTTTTAGTCATTTAGTTTCAGTTTTGCTAGACTTAGCTGGGGGTTGTCCCAACATTTCTAGTCAGTTAGAGGCTATTTCAAACATAGTTAGATTCAGCTTAGTATTGAATTAATATCTTCTTTGTATTAAACTCATCAGTTTTCATTTATCTCAGTTATAGTATATGGGTATTCCCCATCTTTTCATTTTTATTTATGATTTAACTTCCGCATCAGTTTATTTTCTTTAGTATGATCATGATCATGCCAACAGAATTAGCTTGGGATCACTTGTGGTCCTAGGTCCCGTGTCCGCGTCTTGGGGGTAGCTCGGGGCGTGACAATATCCATACTCTTATAGTATCATTGATTAATGAGTAAGGTGTAATTGTGTACTGATTTAGTATCAATTAAGTGAAATTATTAGCCTTAATGATACAAATACAGTATATATATATAATTAGTATCAATTAAGTGAAATTAATTGAGGGATATATAGTCTAATTATTTAGTGGGGGTATGAATGTACGGGGGTATATGTTTGTAATTATTTTATTTTTATGGGGTATTTGCTTAATTTCCCCTATTTTCTATGACTTTTGGCTATTTTTATGTAATAAAAACGTTGCTATGTTTGTTGTAAACTAATTATTTGATTGTCTATATTTGAAAAGGAAAACTACATAATTAGACAGACTTAACTACCATATATACAAATTTTACCTATAGTTTAAAAATATTACTCATAATACCACTTTTTAATAATTATACCATATATTTTAAAATTTTAAATTAGATACACAAATCCCTTAAATATGATATTGAGTAATTATCTTAAAATTCAAATTCCTTAATTTAAGGTACATTAATAACTGTCCCCAAACTCCTATGCCAACAACATATCTTACCTCCCCTCCTCACGTTCTCCATCACCTCTACCTACCCTCTCTTCCTTCATCCTCAATCTCCTATCCCAAGTTCATCTCCCTAATCTCTTTCTTTCTTCCTTCTCCTTCATAAATCTTCTTCACTAAACCATGAAAACCTGAATTGATGGGGGGGGGGGGGGGTTATCGCATTTTTCTACTGTGAAGACTTTTAAAAGAAAGAAGTTGCCTGAAGGGTTCAACGGAAGAGGAAGGCAAGATGAGGTAAGGTAAGTTGTGACGAGATTGATAAAGGTAAGAGAACAACGTAGCAAAAGCTCCGAAAAGTGAAGGATAATTGGAGAGGATGAGATTTGGGATTTAGTCTTCCGATTCTTTAGCCAATGCTTTCAATGCTGGATTGTTGGAACAAAGAAAAAGAAGTTGAAAGACAAGATCCAGAGCAATATCATCACTGGATTTTAGTTTTGAACTTGGTGAATTTAAGATGGATTTGTAGATATACAGTGTTTGCTATACGTATCTAAACGGTCTATGTATTTGCCCTTCATTTATGTATCTCCCTTTTCTTTTATGTATATATCCTTATTCTATATATTTAAAAGATTAATATCAAATAATTAGATACATGCTTCAGATACATAACGAGTTTCAAATACATGTTATGTATCAGATATACGTATATAACAGATACACCTAATGAAATATATTTAATGAAATTAGGTGGATGAATTAGATACATAGTGCACGATACACATTGTTTTCTAAACATGAAAAATTGAAAAAAAACCACAAAATTCTAAAAAACAAATTCGAATCTCTAAAAAAAGTTGTTCACTTTGTTGTTGGTGGAAATAAATGGAAGAAATTAATATACATATATAGCAGATACACCTAATGAAGTACATTTAATGAATTTAGATGCATGAATCAAATACATAGTGCGAGATACACCATAAAAATTTGAAAAAAAAAATTGAATTTCTGAAAAATCTTGTTCACTTTGTTGTTGCTGGAAAATAAATGGAAGAAATTTGATTTTTTAATTATTTTTTTTATAGAAGTTGTTGAAGTAATTATACACAAAAATTGTGGGATACATGTATCTGATGGGTAATTATACTCAAAAGAAAAAATGCTCAAAAATTGTTTGAGTAATTATACTCAAACGAAATTAGAATTTGGATTATTTTAGGAAAACTGGTAATAGTTTATATGGAAGGATCATTCAAATCGATTTTGTTTGTTAATTTCCCATAAGTTACTCCATTAATTAAGGAAATACGTTACAACATTTATTTCAAAAAGTATTAGATTGTGTATCTCGATGTTTTAAACCTGATGGATACATGTATCTGACGGGTTGTGATACATGTATCCCATAGCCAAAAATGGTATAGCAAGAAATATAAAAAAGATCAACTTTCACATATAGGAAACATAAAAATTATATTTGTATGTTATAGCTATAGTTTGCATAATTGCGCTCCATAACAAATTTTTTGTTTCCTATGGAGCTTTTGATTTGTATAATTCACTAGATACATCCAATTTTATACAAATTGTTCAGTTTTGTATAAATTCATTTATACATTGTAATTTGTATAATAAGATTTGTATTTGTATAATTATAAGTGTATAATATTTGTATATACACTTTTCTCTCACTTTATACAAACACAAATGCATTTTATACCGAAGTGTATAAAATGGCTAATTGTATACCGAATTAGATGGCAAAAAAATGGGATATTTGCTACAAATTACAAATAAAATAAACTATGACTACATCACTTAATTTGAATTAATGATTTACTATTTCATACAATTTTTCCTATAAAAAAACTATTGAGATTTCTAGTAATGATGATCTAAACTAGTGAGATTTATATAAACTAGCCCAAAAATATATTCAAATAATTATTTTTTGTGAGAAAGTCATTTTATGATGTTTGACTTTTAGAGAGGAAAAATATTTTCCTCGAAAGTAGGAAAGATATTTATTGTGGACGAAAGTTATTTTCCTTGCGACATTTTAATATTTAACTTCATATTCCTTACTCCAAACAACACTTATGTTATTATCAATCTTTTGTAGTGAAACATTTAATCAAAACACTCTTTCATTTTATTTGTAAACATACTAAATCGATAATCAAATCAATAAAATATTCGTTGTTGATTTTCGATTAATCAATTAGCAGTGCTTAACAAAAACTGAACCAATAGTCCGGTAAGAGAATTAACAAAACCCCAACAACCAATAGCAACAACATTTTTTTTGGGTTCGATTTATTGGTTAAATCAAAATTCGCACACCCTATTACTCACTAAAGAAACAATTTATCTTCACGTTGATGAGCCACACATTATAGTAAAGGGGACCGGTGATCCTATAGGTTCTAGAAAAAAATATGTACAATAGTTTACTATCACGTACTTTTTATAACATGATGTCGTTCTAGTCAGCTTACACATACTTTAATTGTTGTATCGAGTATATCTATTGTCTCTCACTAACACATATATCGAATAGTTTCTGTCAATAATAAAAACAATATTTAATAAACAATGCATTCAACATTTAAAGAAGGGAATAAATGAACATTCTTTGAAATGATTTCTATTAAAAATAAAAAGACACAATCTATACTATGTTAGTAATAAAACTCAATTAAATTAGCATATTGCTACAAGTCGTTTTGACGAGTTTTTTTTTTTTTTTAAATAAAATATTATATTCATGATAATCTCGTACAACTAGTATGAATTTATATATATTTGTGTTATTTCCCTATTTTTGCATAATATAATTTTTTGACCCAGCGATATTAAGTAATTACACTGTTTAGTTTAAACCTTTAAGATGACTCCACCTCTAATTTCAATCGACCAAAATTTAGGTAGATATAAAGAAACGATCAAACACTTCTTATTTACGTTAAGATTTAAACCTTATTTTCAAAACTTGCAGCACTATTTTATTTATAGGTGGATATAAATCAAAAATCAAATCAAACCTAACTTTCAAAATTTTGCATCTAATATCTTTTTTTTTTGTTGATATCAAAATCAAATTTTAAAATACTGATTTGAATATCGAACGTCCATCCATGACTTTATGGAAGGTGTGAGTGAGAACCTTTCATGAAAACAAAATTTGTCATGCTTGTTTCTTTGCCATTAGCTATGTTTCTTGTCATTAGTTATATGTCCTTTTGCAACTTGCATGAATAATTTTGTGGTTCTACTTTATTTGATTCTTTATAAAAGTTATCTTCTTTTTATTCATTCAAAAAGTATAATTTTGTGTAGTACTAGAGATCTTTATTCTAATATAGCTCAATGGCTGAAAAAATTACCTCAAAAAGTACACATGGCCAAAATATTGTGCAAGAAGAAACCAGGGGCGGAGCTACAGACGAAGGGTGGTCAGTTGGCCAAAATGGTCCGAAAGACGACGAGAAAGGAGCTATAGTTGACGAAGGGGGGTCAGTCGGCCAAAATATTGCGCAAGATGTCGGTGGTAAAGGAGGGTCAGTTGAACACCCTTTGCCAAAAAATCACACTATAGTGAAACTCCTGACTCCACCAATGCTAGACAATGCTCGGGTAGCTATGCAAGACAACGTCAATGGCGAAGTTACAACCAACGTCGAAGGAGGAGGATCAGTTGGACACCCTTTGCCAGAAAATCACACTATAGCGAAATTCCTGATTCCACCACTGCAAGACGACGCCCGGGTGGCTGTGGTCATGGTGCCACTTCCAGCACAAGGCCATCTCAACCAACTCCTCCATCTCTCTAGGCTCATTTCCATGTACAATATTCAAGTCCATTACATTGGAATCACATCACACATTCAACAAGCGAAAATTAGAGCTCATGGCTTTGATCCACTCACTATAACAAAAATTCATTTCCATGAATTTCATCAAACACCTTCTTTTGAAACTCCCCTGCCTAATCCTAATGCTTCTTTCAAATTTCCAAACCAGTTAATGCCTTCATTTTACGCCACATTCCATCTCCGCGAGCCAGTTTGCTCGCTAGTACATGAACTTCTAAGCGCGAATCATCGCAAAGTTGTTGTCATTTATGACAGTTTGATGAAATTTGTAGTTCAAGATTTGCCACTAATACCAAACATAGAGTGCTACTGTTTCAATAGTACTTCAGCTTTTATGTCATATTCATACTATTGGGAACTCAAAGGAAAGCCTTTCCATCCCGGAACTGAAAATTACGAGGATATTCCAACAGTTGGAGATTCTTTTCCTCCAGAGTTTTGGGAATTTTTGAAGATACAAGAACAATTTGATGGGAAGAACCATATTAGTGGTGAACTTTACAATTCATCAAGAGTGATTGAAAGTTTGTACCTTGATTTAATGGCCAAAGAATATGATGGTATGAAGCAATGGGCTATAGGTCCATTCAACCCCATGGAGTCACAAGAGAAGAGAAAAGACTCGAACAAACGCCACGAGTCCCTTGATTGGCTTGACAAACAAGAGCGCGACTCAGTTATTTTCGTGTCATTTGGCACGACTACTTCGTTGTGTGATGAAGAAATCAAAGTGCTCGCGATTGGACTAGAGAAGAGTTGCCAGAAGTTTGTTTGGGTGCTCCGAGATGCTGACAAAGGAGATGTTTTTACAAGTGAAGTTAGAAAAGCACAATTGCCTGAAGGATATGAAGAGAGAATAAAAGAAAGAGGGATTATAGTAAGAGATTGGGCACCACAATTGGAAATTTTAGCGCATAGTTCAACTGGCGGTTTTATGAGTCATTGCGGATGGAATTCGTGTATGGAGAGTATGTCCTTTGGAGTTCCTATAGCAGCATGGCCAATGCATTCAGATCAGCCAAGGAATTCTCAACTTGTAACAAAGTACTTGAAAATTGGACTAATTGTTAGGCCATGGGCGCGTCGTGATGAAGTTGTTACATCAGAGATAGTTGAAAATGCTGTGAAAACATTGATGGCTTCATCAGAGGGAGATGAGATGAGGAAAAGAGCTGCAGATTTGAGCAATGCTATCAAAAAGTCGACGGATGGGGGCATAAACCGCGCTGAGATGGATTCTTTCATCGCACACATTTCTCGTTGAAATCCGATATATGATTGTCCAGGAGTCTGTGAAATTCATAGAAGGTTGATATATTTCCAATTTACATATTATAATGGTAATGGAAATCGCGCTTCTATGCATGTAATACTATAGCTATTTCTATGTAATTCTTGTAGTCTCTTCTTTTTCAGTCACACATAAATAAAACACAAGTTATCCCTATAAAATCTATGGTTGAATCTTATTATTTCAACGAGTAATGTGAGTGATGAAGGTCCATCTAGCGCGGTTGATGCCATCATCCATCACTTATTTTTTGATAGCATTGCTCAAACTTGTTACTTTTTCCCTCATCTCATCTCCCTCTTTTGAAGTCATCAATGTTTTCACTCTATTTTCAACTATCTCTGATGTAACAAGTTCATCATAACGCGTCCATGGCCTAACAATTAGTCCAATTTTCAAGTACTTTGTTACAAGTTGAGAATTCCTTGGCTGATCTGAATGTATTGGCCAAGCTGCTATAGGAGCTCCAAAGGACATGTTCCCTTGATTCACTCCAATAGTAGTATTTATCGTGTCAATGCAGCGGAAAGGGATACATTTAATGAATTGAGAAGTTCACCACAGCTGATTTTGTAAAACAGATATTGCAAAGCATATAGGCAAACATTTATTCATGTTAAAACCAGATTAATTATCTGTTAAAAGAGAAGTACATAGCAATCATCTTACTAATAGCCATAAAAAGCAAGTCTATCTTGTGATATACGCGATGAAAGAATCCAACTCCATTCGAGAAGCACCCCCTTTCTCTGTGGACCGCCTTACTGCTTCTCCCAATTCTTCTGCTCTTTTCCTAATCGCATCACCTTCTTCTGATGCCATCAACTTCCTCACAACATTCTCAATGGCGGATGCACTCACCAGCTCCTCGCGTTTCTCCCACACCCTCACAATCAGGCCTATTTTCAACATTTCCGTAACCAAGAAACCATTTTTTGGTTGGTCAGAATGCATAGGCCAAGCAGCTATTGGCACTCCCATAGTAATACTCTCAATGCAAGAATTCCATCCGCAATGACTCATGAAACCCCCCGTGGACGAATGAGCCAAGATTTCTGGCTGTGGTGCCCATTCTCTCACCACTAACCCAACCCCTTTTACTCTTTCCTCAAATCCTTCCGGCAACTCAAGTCTTCTAGCTTCTCCGGTAAAGATATCACCTCTATCAGCATCTCTCAACACCCATAAAAACCTCTGTTTGCTCTGCTCTAATCCCATCGCGAGCTCCTTGATTTCCCTATCAGAAAATGAAGTTGTTGTTCCGAAAGATACATAAAGAACTGATCTTGGAGGTTGTTTGTTTAGCCACTCGAGACATATATCGTTCTTATTCGAGACACAATCGAGTTTAATAGGCAAAATTGGTCCAATTGCCCATTGTTTCTTCTCCTGTTTACTTGCTACTTGTGCAAGCAAATCAAGAAACTCACCTTCGATTACTTTACTTGTATTATGGATATCACCTGATCTATTATCCATATATGGCCTCTGAGAAGCTCCAAGATTCTTGATTTTATCTGTCAAAGTTCCTTCAATGGAAGGTAACTTTTTAAGTAATTCCTCTTCAAGCTTAAAAGGCATTCCCATAGACAATGATATGAAACAGTACAAAGTGAACACTGAAATGCAATTAAATACATATGATTCCGCGTTGTGCAAGGACGAAACATCCTGAACATTACAAGACATTAAAGAATCATGAACAACAACGACTCGTCTTGCTTTTGAGGAAATATCACATAAGAAGGAAGCAATGGACTCGCGAAGAAGCATAGAAGCATCCCATGATGGCTGAAGTTGTGATGGGAATTTGCTCGAGGCATTAAAGTCAGGTTGTGGTGAGGCAAATTCAGGAGTTGGGATGTCATGGAAATGGATTTTGGCTATGTCTGATGGATTTAAGGCGTTGGCTCGAACACGAGCTTGACGATTATGTATAGCTGAGCCAACATAATAGACAGGAAGATCATATGATGAGGAGATTAAACAGGATAGTTGAAGAAGTTGATTGAGATGGCCTTGTGCTGGAAATGGAACCATGACTATAGCTACTTCATCTTGCTGTATGTTGCTACACATGTTAGTGGAAATATCGAAAATTCGTACTTCTGTCGGATCCTCCCTAACAGCTAATTGCTTTAAAAAGTCTAATGAAATCTGATAAGACTTGAAAATTTTGATGATCTTCCAAGAAAAAGTTGTTCTTGAAAGGTGTATAAATCTTGAAATGTCAGATGATGATAATACAAAGAAAATAAGGTATGTCATTATGTCATAAAACTTGTTTTTATCTTAGATAATAATATAATATATCCATTATTATTTGAGTGGTGCAATAATAATATACCATTATAATAATAATTATTTGTTTTTTACACGTTAATCGATAACAACAGATAACTTTTTAGTGGAAAAACTAATTTCCATTGTGATTAGTGGCTAAATCAGAATTTTCATTAAGGGCAAAGGCGAAGCTAGCCTGCGAAGTACAGATTCGGAACAACTTTGGTGATCCAAACCATATATTTTTGTTGAGAAAATTCAATGACTATATATATATGTAATGAACTTCAAAATTCAAAAACTTCAAATTCTGAATTTATCTTTAACTAAGGAGATTCAAAATATAATGAAGTAAAATAGAGAATTATGGAAATTTAACTATGAATTGGTATGTATGTTTGTTAATTATAACTAATCATAATTTTTTTTCCAACTAATGCATGTCTTAATCCATCCTTTTCATATGTCTTTATCACCATTCTTGATTTTGTTACTCTTTAGAAAAATCAGAAATAACAAAAATAGTTTCGTCTTGTACTATCTAAAGTCAGTTATATGGACCCACACACGTTTACGCCCTTTTTAAATAAAAAAATCGATTGTTTGTCCATTCATGATTGTCCATTCTTGAGTATCATTCTTGTGCGGAAGTCATGCAAACCTTTTCTTTATCTTTCCAATTTTATTGTTCACTCTCGATTCACTCAATTTGAAACTTAGTGGATTATATGGATCCACTCTACTATTCTTTTCCACTTAAACATCAGTCCTTTATCCATGACAAGGTTCGAACTTGTAGCCTATGCCTAACCTATAAATTTCAGATTACGCTTTCAGTGGCGGATCTATGCAGAGGTTTGGGGGTGCCACGCCACCCCCGAACTTCGACGGAAACTCTATATATACATAGGTATATATATATATATATATATATAATATTTATATAAATATAAAGCGTGCCACCCATAGAACAAAACTGTCTTGTGGTGCCATGGTAGGAGGGCAATTTTAGAAAGTTGATGTTGCGGGTTCGAATCCCATTTGTACCTATTTTTTTGAGAAATTTGATGCAGACGTTTTTTAAGAAAAAAAAAAAAAGGCTCCAAGCACCTTTTTTTAAGGAAAAACAGTTGGCACAATTTTTATTTTTATTTTTTTATAATTGTTATTGACTTAAATTAAATTAATTACATTATTACTCCTTTGACTTTTCTTTTATTTGATTAAATACTTAATAAAAGTGTAATATCTTATTATTTACATTTTATTGATTGATTTATGATATATATCGAAAAGACAAATAATTTAATCAAATATAAAATTAATTTAATCGATAAGTCTATTTGACACCCACGAACTCTAAATCCTGGATCCGCCACTGATTACCATTAAACCAAAGCTCTAGAATTTGGCAAAGAATTTTGGAGTTTTGTACAATTGCAAGAAAGTTCACGTCAAATGACTTGGCTTGTTGTCCAAAAGAAAAGAGACGAGCACAAAAGTTAAGAAGAAAGAAACAAAATGTGTATGGATATAAAAAAAAAAGGAAAAAAACAACTTTATCTGCAATGGAGTTAAAGTTTTCAAACTTTATATTAAATGATATAGAAAAGACATAAAGTCACCATCGAAGTTGTTTCAGATTTTTAAAAAGACACTTTAATTTTGAAACCGTTCTATTACCCCACTAAATAATTTTGTACAGATATTATTATATTATTTTTATGATTGGTGTGTAAACACACTTACTTGTTAAAATCTGAGGCTGATCGAAAAATAATAGAATAATATCTATTCAAAATTATTTAGTGGGATAATAGGACGGTGCAAAGTTAAGGTGTCTTTTTGAAAATTCGAGACAACTTCAATGGTGACTTTATGTCTTTTCTCTAAATGATATAATGAGTGTTTTCACAATCAGTTAACATGTTATATCAACTCCTACTAAATAAAGTGACCTAATTTGCGTACATATTTTGACATAATACGTATATACACCTTTTAATTTGGTTTCAGCTGATATCTATGCCCTCCAATTTTGAGTATGCACAAATAGGTACTTAAACTTGTATATAATTGCACAAATAGATACATTCATCCTACGAGGTGTCCTACATGACAATTTTGTGTCCGATGTGTCTTCCTACATATCTTAGCCATATAGGACATTACTTGTTCAATTTTATACAAGTTTAAGTGTCTACTTGTGTACATCCAAAGTTGAAGGGTGTAGATGTAAGCTGAAGCTAGGTTAAAGGGGATATTTATGAATTATGCCTATTTTTTTTTATGCCGTCAATGCATAGACTCATCTGTAGTATAGTGAGACTTCTCTATAACGAAAATTTCATTATAGCATTGCTCAAATTTTCTGCTCTTTCCCTCATCCGTTGAAGCCATCAAAGTTCTCATAGCGTTTTCAACCATATCTGATATAACATGTTCAACATGACGTGCCAATTTTTAGATACTCTTTCCGTTTCAATTTGTTTGTTTTACTTTTCTTTTAAGTTGTTTTAAAAAATGTGTCTTTCCTTTTTTGGAACTCTTTCCTTTCAGTTTTTCACGTAACATATTTATGATCACAAGATTAAAGAACATTTTGATACATTCAACATAACTTAAGTGTAAGACCACAAGATTTGCAAGTCTTCTTTATTGGCTCGACAAACAAGAACCAAACTCAGTTAGTTTCGCTAATTGTTACTTCTCTAATTGTTAAAAACGTGAAAAAATGGTTAACATTGATTAGACCCTTAATTGGGTGAAGAAAAACGTGGCTAGGCTTAGCAAGGACGGGAAAAGATCAAACTACCCCTCTAAAAATGATTGAGGTGCCTTTAAAAGAGAGGCTTCACTGAAATGGACATAACTTTTTACTCCGAGCTCAAAATTAAGAAAACTTGGCGGTGTTGGAAAAAGGACTCAAAGACATTTAATTTGATAGGTCATGGGCCACCCAATTCTTTATGTTCTAAAAGATACAGTTATTTGAAGTTGACCCAAAACTTAAAATTGATGGGTGACTTGCACGAATCCCTCTTTAACCCTTTTCAAAGTCCGAGGTTACATAATCCTTCTTTAAATAGATCTTATTCTTAATCATAACAGTTGTGGTTCAAAATGGTATAACATTACCATTTGGTATCAATAGACACTACAGTATTTTATACTCCCTCTGTCCACTTTTATTTGTCATGTTGCGCTTTTCGAAAGTCAATTTGACTAATTTTTAAAGTTAAATTAGATTACGTTAATTCGATATTTTTTTAAAAAAAATTAGATATTCAAAAACTATACGAAAAGTACTATAAGTTGCAATTTTTTGCATATCAATATGATGAAAATATACATCGTAAAATGTTAGTCAAAGTTCTTATTGTTTGACTCTAAAAAAGGAAACCATGACAATTAATTGTGGACGGAGGGAGTACTAATAATATCACTACTTTTATATTAATATGTATATACCATGTATGACCTATAATAGTTTTAAAGTAATTCTATTGTCTGTATGAATACACCATGTGTTAAGTTAACAATATGACTCAATATTTATCAATAAATAACACGAATCTGTACCGTATTTTTAATTAATATTCAACCATTTAATATACAAACAGTTATACCAATTATAGAAATAATGTTATACCAATACCATATTTTTAATTAATATTCAACCATTTAATATACAAACAGTTATACCAATTATAGAAATAATGTTATACCAATAATTATTATAAAATATACCAATATATATGAAATTATTTTAAATTTTAACATCTAATTTTCGTCAAAAAAATATTTTATACCATAAAAAAACTAACTTTAACAGTTTGATATATTTCAATTGTAACTTAACATTTCGAATTAGTAATCACTTTTAAAGTTGGTACATAATTTGATATATTTAAATTGTAACACAAAACTACTCTTATATTACACTACTAAAAAACTGTCAAAAAACGACGGCCAAAAGCGACGGACTGCGTCGCTTTTTTGGTCAAAATCGACGGAAAAGTGACGCAGTCACCTCCATCGCTTTTTAGCATGATGCTTTTCAAAAGCGACGCTATCCGTCGCGTTTTGACTATTTTTTTTAACATAAGTGACGGACTCCGTTGCTTTATTTCAATTTTCATTTTTTTATTTCTAAAAGGCGACGCATTCCGTCGCTTTTCTGGAAATTTTATTTTTGAAAATCCTTGAAAAGCGACGGAAAAAACCACGTTGTCCGTCGCTTTTCCTGTAATATTTTTGACAGCAGAAACTGGCAATTTCTGCTGCCCACCTGCAAATGCAATTCAATTCAATTCTACACTATTCAGCACAATCAAACACACACAATTCTAAACAATCTAAATAAAACATAAAACAACAAACTTAAAATAACATTCAAAAGTATCTACATCACAAATTAAAGACTTATAAAGTCTTTCAAAATTTCAAAAAGTTCATAAATGTCTAGAGATCTAAACTAGAGAGTGAGTTCTACATAATCATCCTCATCAATCTCGTCGTCGATGTCATCGGGAGACGAAGTAGTAGGTCGACGAGCAAGGTTCATCACTTGTTCTTTGATTTGATGAACGGTCTCACTCATGCTTTCTTGTTTAGCTACTCTTCTCCACTCTAAATCTGCCAGTGCCGCTGTAAGTATAGCTATTTGAGCCAACATAGTAGCAATCTGAACACCGTCAAGTGCCTCGGCTTGACGTGACGATCCAATTCCTTCTAAGCCTGACTAGAGTCATCTTACATCGTTTCGAGAGCCTAGACCATAGACTCTACCCTTGTGTGTCCCCCCTATCACTTTTTCTTTCCAAATCAGGGTGGAAAGTTCAGGTGTCAATTGGACCGAATT